ACACACAGGGGCGGCCGCCAGGGATTTCTTTAGGAGGGCGAAACCAGAGGCGTGTACAGCGAGCACGCGAAGGGGGGGGGTCTTAATTTTTGAAATTAGATTCCCTCAAATGCGTTTCTGCGCGGGCAGCGGGGGGGGGTCCGGACCCCTGGACCCCCCTGTCCACGCCCCTTGGAACTGTAGACTGATACGTGTGCGGTTCCCGGCCTCCCCACTCAGTGTTAGTTAGGGTACGCATATGCTCGTTCCCTCCTTTGAAAGCACCGCGCCCCCCTATCTCAGGACTGCTAAAATTTCTGAACCCCCTTTTGCGGGCTTTTGCGGGTTTTCCCTGCCTTGAGGACCCCCCTTGCACGTACACACGCACGCACGCCCGTGTACGTACGCAAGCACGCACGTGTACGTGCACATGCACGCACGCATGCACGTGTACGTGCGACACCGCACGCACGTGTACGCTACACACGCACGTGTACGTGCACACGCACGCACGCACGCCCGTGTACGTACGCACGCCCGTTACATACGCACGCACGCACGTGTACGTGCCGCTGCTTTCATCGAGTGTTGAACGCAATCATACAAACGAAAATAGGACAACTATATCACATCCCCCAGCACTCCTGTAGACAGCTAGACCATATATGCGTTTACATATAAGACAGCGTGCCAGGTCCAAGCTGAACAATATCACCAAAAGGCACATGAAAAATCACAAATGGAACAAAAATCACCAAAAGGCACATGAAAAATCACCAAATGGAACAAAAATCACCAAGGTTTTAAAAATCTCAATATTTCACCATGTCTAGCCGCGTACGGAGACTGATATTACCCACATGTAACTTATTTTACATTTTTAAAGCGTGTTCGTTTTGTTCATTTTGGCATAAAAATAAAAAATAAAAATGAAAAAATTGTTACAATTCATTTAAATAGGGGTCATTATGTATACAACTCTATGTGAAATGTCACTGACGTAATTTTCTACACAGCAAACTGTCTACAGTAGATCTGAATGTATTTAGAGTTGATTAATTAAAAAATAAAAGCTGAAATTTTGTCTTTTATACCAAAACGTCAAAAAATCACCAAAAATTTAAAGAAAATCACCAAATCACCAATTTTTTTTGTCACCGAAGGCTTTTCCAAAATCACCAAATTTTCAAAATTTGGTGACGCGAAATCACCAAATGGCCAACGCCTGATATAAGAGAGGCGTCAGTTGTTCCTATGGTATGTGTCGCACAGTGTGATTCGGTTTATGCTAGGCACGCTCCTCAACAGCCAGCAGCTACGATGGCGTTAGTGATTTACACCGGAATTCATCAACATTTGCGTACGCAGGTGCTACGCTGCGTTGATGAATCGCACCTACGCCAGCTTTGCGTACGTACTTCGTTAGAAACTGTGTACGGCAATACACTTTGCGGCAACGTTGATGAATAACAAAAGGTGGCCACATTTAGAAAAGTGATGGTGAACGAACGAATAGTCCACTACTGCCCCGGTCAGCAAGACAATAAAAGGACCATGCTACAATTGTGATACGGTCTGATTATTATATATATAATATATATATATATAGTGAGAGAACAAACCTACTACTATTATTATTATAATGTACAGAAGTCCTTACAGAAACCTAAGAAGTCCTTCATAGGTTTATATGTTATGATAAATATAAAATAAACCCGTTCCATATATCATTTTATTATTGCCTTTTAAGAGTAGTACGTACAATTTATAATACACGCCGTTTAAGTATGGCGTCAATGCTAGGTATGGTTAATAGCTAAAACATTAAAGCATGCTCATAATTGCAAACACTACATTCATATCACAATATTTGAAATGTAGTTCAGTGCACTCAGCCATCAACGTATATAGTAAAAAACCTACTCGTTCTTGAGCTCTGCCTAAAATATTAACATTAATCAAATAACCTGTACCAACACAATTGTTATAATATAATGAGGATGGCGTTTACACACGAAGACTAGTAAAATCACTAAAAATCATTTCCAACAGAGACCACTGTACCGTGTACAGCACGTTTAAAACATTGCTTTCATTCGATTACCTAGCGTGCGTCAAATTTTTTACTGGCAAATTTAGTTTTCATAACTATTTTCCAGACGTGCATTTTCTCAAGCGTTTGCATTCGTGAGATATTCTGCAACAAGATAGTCTAAAATGCATGTTTTCGACAAATAACAGACATAACGTCGATGCTAATCACAGCATTCAATAAATAAGCAGTATTACTGCTAAGAATCAAACACACTAGGTATTAAATTAATATACCATCATATAAAAACAGAAGTGCAGGAAAAGGGTTCGCAAAGGTTTAAACATCTTCATTCCATCAACTTAGGTTTTTGACTGCCTGTTCGGTTTGGTCTTTCACGATAGAAGTTCCTGAAGGCCCCACACCACGTTTAGTGGTAATGCACGATCTGAAATACATAAACCACCTCATGTTATAAAACCAGTCTATATAACAGGATCGTCAATTGGTTTACTCGAAGAGGAGCAAACCTCAATGATGGAAGATATGCGAGTATTCGTTTTGTTTTAAAATACGAGAATAGTAGCTGAATAAACCAGGCAGATGAGGCTGACCAGATATATATGAGAGACAAACAGGCTTAGTCCCATTAAAACAAGAGTTCAGAGACCTCTTATTCCCTGGCGATTAAACAGATATAAGAATACCTCAGTGGCCTCTATGTGCCAAACTTTTAAAACTCAGACCTCACACATCTAAAACTTAGCATTAGGGGTAAGGGCCGCGACACACTACGAGATTTTAATGCGATCTAATCGGTGCGAATTTATCTCCCGCATAATATCGCGCAATATTGTCGAGTGGACACATCACGCCGATTTAGTCGCGCGACTGAAATAATCGGCCCAATAATATCAAAACGTTTTGATGGCATGCGATTGAATCCGGCGACTAAATCGGCAGCGACGACTGGACACATTAGGCGATTTTCACGCGCGGCATTGAGTCGCCGATAAATCGTCTTAGTGTGTCCGGCCCTTAAATGTCCATGCGACCTACCTATCTGCGCAGGGTATGGCAGCCCTAGCGTTTGCCATTATCTGCTCGAAACTGCCTCAACCGTCTTTGTCAATCTTTATTATGTGTACGTTCTTCTTCTACGGAGGTTACTGTTTGCCTGAAAACGCATTCAATGAACACGTCGCCATCACAAGCACAATGCCTCACAACTTATCCAGTGCCATCACAATGTACTGCCAACAAAGCTTGCCAAATCAATTGAAAACGTGTCATTTGTTATCTGCTTTACCTACATTTGCGCCAATCCCTTGTAGTTCAACATTAGTAAGCTACTTAATCTATGCATTTGATCTAGTTCCCTTGTGTGGTTATTACGTGTAATATAATTACCTATCCCTGTTGAACTCCACAGTCTATTATATCAAACATTTGTTTATTGTGATTTAGAGTATATTGTCATGTACGTGAAATTTTAGTATTGAATAAATGCTAAATGTATGCACCTAGGCACACAGGCACACACACACACACAGACACACAGCAGCCATACTGTAATTATCGCAGTGTTGGTTATATCTCTACATACCTGTGTAGTCATGAGCAGGATATAGAAGATACTCATTGGGCAGACTGAATACTGCTGATTTATGAATTGTAGCAGTGCTTCTGGGCGTTACCTGAAAATTACAAATACTTACTTACTAGATGAAAAGCAAAAACAAGTCAAGCTGACTTTAGCTGCTACCACTTTTCTTTTTTATATCAAAATATCAAATATACTAGAATTTGCTGCAATACCAAATAAAAGTGCGAAAGCGCAAAAGCAAAGCTGTGAGTGACTGTGCAGACCTATGCACAGACACTCTTATATGTAATCTCTGTAAACTGTATAGGCCAACCATAGAGACAAGCAGAGCCATGAAACCATAAAAAAGTGCCAGCCACGACCAGCGCTCACCTGACGGCAGGTGTTCTGATGCTTAAACTCAGGGGCAAACGAATCAAGAGCACCCTCCAGTTCGCCGCGGTTCGCTCTCCCTCGTCTGTCTCTCATTCTTTCTCTTTCGGCTCTCTCTCTCTCTCTCTCTCTCCTCACGCTCTCTCTCTCTCCCTCTCTCTCTCTCTCTCTCTCTCTCTCTCTCTCTCTCTCTCTCTCTCTCCTCTCTCTCTCTCTCTCTCTCTCTCTCTCTCTCTCTCTCTCTCTCTCTCTCTCTCTCTTTCTCTCTCACTCTTTCACAGTACAGAATGCCATAGAAATTATACGATTTAAGGAGCATAAACCTTCTTCAACCAAATTTAGTATTTAAAATTTCACTGTGACATTGTAGCCTCATACATCCAGGCATGTATAGATTCTACCAGCAAACCCGGCAGTCAAATTCTTTCTAGCAGTAAAGAAATCCATGTTTAACCCGCCTCTTGAGGGTCAAAAGGTTATCCGACACTTACTCTTCGCATGTCAGCAGAAATTACATTTCATGGTCCTTTCAATAAAGCCATAAAAATGCAGATCACCGCTTAAACAAAAAAGTTTTTCGAATCCCTCCATCAGACCATGTCCTCAGAAAATGTCTAAAATCTGCCCTGTGCCCCATTGACCTTTGACCTCCAATTTCGGCACAGTGATGGCTTTTCCTACCATGATGCTGTACAACGACGAGCCTAGGTCGAGCCGTTTAGATTTGTGCCGCAATTCTGCATTTCCTCCCTATACCTTAAGTTAAGGAGAGAATGTTCCCCCTTCATTTACACCTCTTGACCTTTGACCTTTGACCCCCAGCTTCAACATCCCAACTTGTTTTGACGATCCACCCCCGACGTCCCGAATATCGTGACCGTACGTCAAGCGGTTAAGATTTGTGCCCAACTGTTGACGCACGGACGGACGGACGCACGGCCGGACGCACGCACGCTCATGCGATTCTACAAGCTGCATCTGACTATGTCAGACGAGCTAAAAACAGCTTACCTTGCTGAAAGTCTGTCCGACCACAACCTCGCACAAGCAATGCATCCCCAGTGAAAGCCATCATATACTGATGAAGCACATATGTAAGGCACCCTATAAATACAAGACACTGCAGGTTTTACACTGTTAGAACATTAAGAAAGCATACCTTAGACTTCACTTCGCTATGTGATGAAACAGTTGTGACAGATGTGAAAAAGGGGAAAAAAGCATGTGCGTGCTCATACCATTTGTGTGCCCAGGAGTGGCTCTGACTTCTAGATTGAGCCCTCCAACCGACACCTTGTCTCCGTGTTTAACGTAAATGTCTGCTTTACCACCACTGAGCTCCGACAGAACACTTCTGCACTGCGGAAAAGTCTTCTTCAGCAATCCTGTTCCCGTCACATGGTCCGCATGTACATGTGTGTTTACTGAAATATATAATTTTTTGAAATCTTGAATGCAAACACTACACGTAATTAAACTTACATAAGAAATGCAAAGATATGTGAATAACAAAATAATTCTCATCTCATGTTGAATACTGCAGCAACTGCTTGAGAAAGTAGATTGAGAGAACTGCTTGAGTAGAAGAAATGACCAACTGAATTCACACTGGGCCTATTGAATAAACGCAGAAATAGGTCATTCGCTTCCTAATTGACCTTTAGCTTTATTGGCAAACTTGAAGTAAGGACGTACGTAGGAACGTTGGTTCTGTACATACGTGCATATTTTAGGTTTAGTTTGAGCTGTTCCACAAGCCTAGAATCTCTCTCAACCATCTCAATCACCGGGTCAATGATGACAGCCTCGTTACTCCCAGGGTCAGCTAGCAGGTACGTGTAGGTGCAGCTCTTATGCTCAAACAACTGTAACAGAAGTTTTCACATGCTCACACTAAACGTGCTGCCACAGAATATATACTTCCATGCTCAATACGATACATGTATAGTATCGAGCATGGGTGTATATTCTGTAGCAGCACGTTTTTATGTATATAGACTAGAGTGACAAAATCAGTTTTTTTTACAACAGGTGATATCATAATAGTCACAATTAAGGGACCATTTAGCACTGCGTGTCTTTGTGCGAGACGCAATCAGGGGTCGAAATTAGCGTAATCCCGATATCCGCGAGATAGTAGAATCTTGTGTTGGATACCAGATTTCAATGCTTGGTATCCCGCCAAAATAGTAAAAAAAAATCGTCAAAATCGGGATAGTGGTCATTGAGTTATCAACTTTATACGGCAGCGCATCTGAGCGAGTGCGCGTAGAGCGAGTGCGCGCGATCTGAGCGGGCTCAGGCACCCTTATTACTATCATATGCCACACTAGCGTTACTACGTTATACAGCAGGCATAGCATATTTGCAAGCACAAGCGTGGCCGATGTTGATAATAAATGTGATGTGTATACATTGTATCAAGCGAATCAGACAATGCGTCTAGAGTCTCTAGACAATACGTCTGCAGTGTACTTGTCTGTGCATATCTGTGAATCTGTTTTCATGTTTTTTTATATATATATAATCAAGAGCTAATAATACCTAGAGTGTACAACGGAAAAACGGGAAAATAGTGCTATTTCACGACATGATTATTCTACTTTGCCTATGCATATCCAAATGCTCAATTGTCTATTCTTTTCAGTTTCAGTTTTCAATTCTCAGAATGCATATTCTTTTTGGGAAGATGTATTTCCTGGAATCAGCTATAGCCAGGCCTGCACAATACGCTGAAACATACATGTCAAGACGCATTGTCTGGCTTGCTTGATACAATCAAGAGTGGATAATTATAGAGATCTCTATTATCCACTCTTGATACAATGTATAACATGTAACATGTTTATGTACATGTATCACTGACCTGAGCCCACCCTCATTATCATCCGCCACCCTTTCTTATACGCTTATACCATAGATATACATACCGCTTATACAACACACAGGGGCGGCGCCAGGGTATTTTCTTAGGAGGGCGAAACCAGAGGCGTGTACAGGAGCACGCGAAGGGGGGGGGTCTTAATTTTTTGAAATTAGATTCCCTCAAATGCGTTTTCTGCGCGAGCAGGGGGGGGGGTCCGGACCCCCTGGACCCCCCTGTCCACGCCCCTTGGAACTGTAGACTGATACCGTGTGCGGTTCCCGGCCTCCCCACTCAGTGTTAGTTAGGGTACGCATATGCTCGTTCCCTCCCTTTGAAAGCACCGGCCCCCCTATCTCAGGACTGCTAAAATTTCTGAACCCCCCTTTTGCGGGCTTTTTGCGGGTTTTCCCTGCCTTGGAGACCCCCCTTGCACGTACACACGCACGCACGCCCGTGTACGTACGCAAGCACGCACGTGTACGTGCACATGCACGCACGCATGCACGTGTACGTGCACACGCACGCACGTGTACGTACACACGCACGTGTACGTGCACACGCACGCACGCACGCCCGTGTACGTACGCACGCCCGTGTACATACGCACGCACGCACGTGTACGTGCCGCTGCTTTCATCGAGTGTTGAACGCAATCATACAAACGAAAATGAGGACAACTATATCACATCCCCCAGCACTCCTGTAGACAGCTAGAGCCATATATGGTTTACATATAAGACAGCGTTGCCAGGTCCAAGCTGAACAATATCACCAAAAGGCACATGAAAAATCACCAAATGGAACAAAAATCACCAAAAGGCACATGAAAAATCACCAAATGGAACAAAAATCACCAAGTTTTAAAAATCTCAATATTTCACCATGTTAGCGCGTACTGAGGACTGATATTACCCACATGTAACTTATTTACATTTTAAAGCGTGTTCGTTTTGTTCATTTTGGCATAAAAATAAAAAATAAAAAATGAAAAAATTGTTACAATTCATTTAATAGGGGTCATTATGTATACAACTCTATGGTGAAATGTCACTGACGTAATTTTTCTACACATCAACTGTCTACAGTAGATCGTAATGTATTGTAGAGTTGATTAATTAAAAAATAAAAGCTGAAATTTTGTCTTTTATACCAAAACGTCAAAAAATCACCAAAAATTTAAAGAAAATCACCAAATCACCAATTTTTTTTGTCACCAAGGCTTTCCAAAAATCACCAAATTTTCAAAATTTGGTGACGGAAATCACCAAATGGCAACGCTGATATAAGAGAAGCGTCAGTTTGGTTGCTATGGTATGTGTCGCACAGTGTGATTGGTTTATGCTAGGCACGCTCCTCAACAGCCAGCAGCTACGATGGCGTAGTGGATTTACACCGGAATTCATCAACATTTGCGTACGCAGGTGCTACGGTGCTACGCTGCGTTGATGAATCGCACCTACAAGCTTTGCGTACGTACTTCGTAGAAACTGTGTACGCAATACACTTTGCGCAACGTTGATGAATAACAAAGGTGGCCACATTTAGAAAAGTGATGGTGAACGAACGAATCATCCACTACTGCCCCCGGTCAGCAAGACAATAAAAGGACCATGTACAATTGTATACGGTCTTTGATTATTATATATATATAATATATATATATATAGTGAGAGAGCAAACCTACTACTATTATTATTATAAGTGTACAGAAGTCCTTACAGAAACCTAAGAAGTCCTTCATAGGTTTATATGTTATGATAATATAAAATAAACCCGTTTCCATATATCATTTTATTATTGCTTTTAAGAGTATACGTACATTTATAATACACGGTTTAAGTATGGCGTCAATGGCTAGGTATGGGTTAATAGCTAAAACATTAAAGCATGCTATAATTGCAAACACTACATTCATATCACAATATTTGGAAATGTAGTTCAGTGCACTCAGCCATCAACGTATATAGTAAAAAACCTACTTCGTTCTTGAGCTCTGCCTAAAATATTAACATTAATCCAATAACCTGTACCCAACACAATTGTTATAATATAATGAGGATGGCGTTTTACACACAAGACTAGTAAAGATCACTAAAAATCATTTCCAACGAGGACCACTGTACCGTGTACAGCACGTTTTAAAACATTGCTTTCATCAATTACCTAGGTGCGTCAAATTTTTTACTGGCAAATTTAGTTTTCATAACTATTTTCCAGACGTGCATTTTCTCAAGCGTTTGCATTCGTGAGATATTCCTGCCAACAAGATAGTCTAAAATGCATGTTTTCGACAAATAACAGACATAACGTCGATGCTAATCACAGCATTCAATAAATAAGCAGTATTACTGCTAGAAATCAAACACACTAGGTATAAATTAATATACCATCATATAAAAACAGAAGTGCAGGAAAAGGGTTCGCAAAGGTTTAAACATCTTCATTCTATCAACTTAGGTTTTTGACTGCTGTTCGGTTTGGTCTTTCACCGATAGAAGTTCCTGAAGGCCACACACCAGGTTTAGTGGTAATGCACGATCTGAAATACATAAACCACCTCATGTTATAAAACCAGTCTATATCACAGGATCGTCAATAGGTTTACTGAAGAGGAGCAAACCTCAATGATGGAAGATATGCGAGTATTCGTTTTGTTTAAAATACGAGAATAGTAGATGAATAAACCTAGGCAGATGAGGCTGACCAGATATATATGAGAGACAACAGGCTTAGTCCCCTTAAAACAAGAGTTCAGAGCACCTCTTATTCCCTGTCGATTAAACAGATATAAGAATACCTCAGTGGCTCTATGTGCAAACTTTTAAAACTCAGACCTCACACATCTAAAGACTTAGCCATTAGTGTAAAGGGCCGGACACACTAGGAGATTTTAATGCGATCTAATCGGGCGAATTTATCTCCCGATAATATCGCGCGATAGTTGTCGAGTGGACACATCACGCGATTTAGTCGCGCGACTGAAATAATCGCCCAATAATATCAAAACGTTTTGATCGATGCGATTGAATCGGGCGACTAAATCGGCAGCGACTGACTGGACACATTAGGCGATTTTCACCGGCGATTGAGTCGCCCGATAAAATCGTCTAGTGTGTCCGGCCCTTAACTGGTCCCATGCGACCTACCTATCTGCGCAGGGTATGGCAGCCCTAGGTTTGCCATTATCTGCTCGAACTGCTCAACCGTCTTTGTCAATCTTTTATTATGTGTACGTTCTTCTTCTACGGAGGTTACTGTTTGACCTGAAAACGCATTCAATGAACACGTGCCATCACAAGCACAATGCCTCACAACTTATCCAGTGCCATCACAATGTTACTGCCAACAAAGCTTGCAAATCAATTGAAAACGTTGTCATTTGTTATCTGCTTTACCTACATTTGCGCCCAATCCCTTGTAGTTCAACATAGTAAGCTACTAATCTATGCATTTGATCTAGTTCCCTTGTGTGGTATTACGTGTATATATATATACCTATCCCTGTTGAACTCCACTAGTCTATTATATCAAACATTTGTTTATTGTGATTTAGAGTATATTGTCATGTAGTGAAATTTAGTATGAATAAATGCTAAATGATGCACCTAGGCACACAGGCACGCACACACACACAGACACACAGAGCCATACGTGTAATTATCGCAGTTGGTTTATATCTCTACATACCTGTGTAGTCATGAGCAGGATATAGAAGATACTCATTGGGCAGACTGAATATCTGCTGATGTACTGAATTGTAGAGTGTTCTGGGGTTACCTGAAAATTACAAATACTTACTTACTAGATGAAAAGCAAAACAAGTCAACTGACCTTTACTGCTACCACTTTTTCTTTTTTTATATCAAAATATCAAAGATATAGAATTGCTCAAATACCAAATAAAATGCTGAAAGGAAAAGCAAAGGTGAGTGACTGTGCAGACTGATGCACAGACACTCTTTATGGTAATCTCTGTAAACTTGTATAGGCCAACCATAGAGACAATGCAGAGCATGAAACCCATAAAAAAGTGCCGCAGAGCGACAGCGCTCACCTGACGGCAGGTGTTCTGTGGCAGCACGTTTAGTGTGAGCATGTGAAAACTTCTGTTACAGTTGTTTGAGCATAAGAGCTGCACCTACACGTACCTGCTAGCTGACCCTGGAGTAACGAGGCTGTCATCATTGACGCGGTGATTGAGATGGTTGAGAGAGATTCTAGGCTTGTGGAACAGCTCAAACTAAACCTAAATATGCACGTATGTACAGAACCAACGTTCTACGTACGTCCTTACTTCAAGTTTGCCAATAAGCTAAAGGTCAATTAGGAAGCGAATGACCTATTTCTGCGTTTTATTCAATTAGCGCAGTGTGAATTCAGTTGGTCATTTCTTCTACTCAAGCAGTTCTCTCAATCTACTTTCTCAAGCAGTTGCTGCAGTATTCAACATGAGATGAGAATTATTTTGTTATTCACATATTTTTGCATTTCTTTATGTAAGTTTAATTACGTGTAGTGTTTGCATTCAAGATTTCAAAAAATTATATATTTCAGTAAACACACATGTATGGGCGGACCATGTGACGGGAACAGGATTGCTGAAGAAGACTTTTCCGCAGTGCAGAAGTGTTCTGTCGGAGCTCAGGGGTGGTAAAGCAGACATTTACGTTAAACACGGAGACAAGGTGTCGGTTGGAGGGCTCAATCTAGATAGCAGAGCCACTCCTGGGCAACAATGGTATGAGCAGCACATGCTTTTTCCCCTTTTTCCATCTGTCCAACTGTTTCATCACATAGCGAAGTGAAGTCTAAGGTATGCTTTCTTAATGTTCTAACAGTGTAAAACCTGCAGTGTCTTGTTTTATAGGGGTGGCCTTACATATGTGCTTCATCAGTATATGATGGCTTTCACTGGGGATGCATTGCTTGTGCGAGGTTTGTGGTCGCACGACTTTCAGCAAGGATAAGCTGTTTTTAGCTCGTCTGACATAGTCAGATGGCAGAGCTTGTAGAATCGCATGAGCGTGCGTGCGTCCGGCGTGCGTCCCGTCCGTCCGTGCGTCAACAGTTGGGCACAAATCTTAACCGCTTGACGTACGTCACGATATTGCGCGACGTCGGGGGTGGATCGTCAAAACAAGTTGGCATGTTGGAAGCTGGGGTCAAAGGTCAAAGGTCAAAGAGTGTAAATGCAAGGGGAACATTCTCTCCTTAACTTAAGGTATAGGGAGGAAAATGCAGAATTGCGGCAAATCTAAACGGCTCGACCTAGGCTCGTCGTTGTACAGCCATCATGGTAGGAAAAGCCATCACTGTGCCGAAATCTGGAGGTCAAAGGTCAATGGGGCACAGGGCAGATTTTAGACATTTTCTGAGGACATGGTCTGATGAGGGATTCGAAAACTTTTTTGTTTAAGCGGTGATCTGGCATTTTTATGGCTTTATTGAAGGACCATGAATGTAATTTCTGCTGACATGCGAAGAGTAAGTGTCGGATAACCTTTTGACGGCCTCAAGAGGCGGGTTAAACATGGATTTCTTTACTGCTAGAAAGAATTTGACTGCGGTTTGCTGGTAGAATCTATACATGCCTGGATGTATGAGGCTACAATGTCACAGTGAAATTTTAATACTAAACTTGGTTGAATGAAGGTTTATGCTCCTTAAATCGTATAATTTCTATGGCATTCTGTACTGTGAAGAGTGAGAGAGAAAGAGAGAGAGAGAGAGAGAGAGAGAGAGAGAGAGAGGGAGAGAGAGAGAGCGTGAAGGGAAGAGAGAGCAAGAGAGAGAGAGAGAGAGAGAGAGAGAGAGAGAGAGAGTGTGATCGAGCGAGAGAGAGAGAGAGCGAGAGTGTGATCGAGTGAGAGAGAGAGGGAGAGAGCGAGCGCGAAGGGAAGAGATAGCAAGAGTGAGAGAGCGAAAGAGAAAGAATGAGAGACAACGAGGGAGAGCGAACGCGGCGATGGAGGGTGCTCTTGATTCGTTTGCCCCTGATTTAAGCATCAG